ATACTGACGTTGAAGTTGTATTCCGATAACCTGGGGTAAGAGCGATCCCGTGATCTTGACGTTTCTTTATCCTACAACGATCTGTTGTTCCCACCGCGATCGGTCCTTCTGTCAAGGGTGAACTTGTCTGCTATACTAAGCTTATGCTACGGCCTTCAATCCGCTCGTAGGGCAAAAGCCCGCCCCTCGAAGTCTGTCTATCAGTGTCGTAATCATCCTTTGATTTTTCCCTGTTCTTCTCCCATCCTTTGGTCGATAATGGAAAACCAACCTGATCATCTTCGATCCTTATTTTTACTCGTATCGATTGTGGACGTCTGCCCAAGTCATTGCTTGAAACTCAAGCAAGCTTTCCTTCAATTTCCAGGAAGCGTATGAACTTCTCGGATTCAAACCTTTAGTGAATACTTCAGATGCCCATTCATCTGGGATAGTCGGGAGCAACATTCTTTTCTTCTGGAATCGGGTAACGAACTCCCTTAAAAACTCAGACCCTCCTTGCGCAGTTTTGAATATATCGGCCTTTAGGGCCTGTACTTTTCTGGCCCCAGTATGGGCCTCGATGAAAAAATCCACGAACATTTCAAAGGAATCTATGGAATGCTCGGGTAACAGCGAATACCACGTCAAAGCTCCCCTTGTGAAAGTTTCTCCAAAATTCTTTATCAACACAGATTCAATTTCGTGAGGAGCTAGATCATTTCCTTTTAACGCCGTTGGATAGGTAGTAATATGCTCCTGAGGGTCTAAAGTTTTGTCATGATTTGGCACTTCGGGCATTTTAAACCGATTCAGGATTAATTCTGGTGCAGCGCTCGGCTTGTACGGTAATAGGGAATACTTCTTGGAGTCCGGGCCCTTCAGTACTGGTGGCGCGCCGGGGATTTTTTCCATGTGGGAGTTTACTTCCCTCATAAATCGTAAAAGTTCATTCTTGAAAGGATCATTCTCATTATTGACACCGGATCCGCTCCCTCCAATCCCGTTGGAGCCAATTTCACCCTTGGGAGTGTTAATGTCGATCCTTTGTGTTGTTTGGTTTGCGGGAACACCAGGAGGAATTGGATTTTGTCTGTTTGCATTATTCTAAGCCCCCGATAGTGCCTGTTTCAACTCCGTCATAACCTTGTCTTGTTGTGTGAGATGGCCTAGAATGATCACTTGTTGCTCTTGCAAGACCCTTACCGCGTTGACGATATGCTCCTCATCAGCATCATCGGGAGTCGTCTCTCGAACATGATGAGGATACTGCTGTCATGCACCGGTGTGGCATCATTCCCTTCGTTGTTGGTGTCACTGATTGAGTCCTCCAAGTGAGGCTACTCTCCTTGAACCTCGGGGTTATGCATGTTATTAACAATATTATCAACCATTTCTTATGATTTTTTCTAAGACAAAAATACTCAAAGAACGTTAGTAAAAGGCAAGGATCAATTTAATTGCACAACTGTCTAGGCCCCACGGTGAGTGCAAAACTGTTTACATGTAAAACGGTATAGTTGAATTTGTACGTGGTTTCTAGACATGTGAACTAATTTGATCATGAAATAAAGAAATAACTGAAAAAATATACAATACTTAGCCTTAAAAAGTAGATGAAATGGCGAATCCAGGAATAAGGTTTCCGGGCACAGCAACGATGAGATGAAAAAGCGAGAAAGTAAAAGCGTATTAAGCTTTGTATAGGATGTAGTGTAAGCTAGCCAAAAAATTCCTCTCCTTTACAATGATAACTGAGCTCTCTATTTATAGTTGTGTCTAGGGAAGGAGGTCCTAGAATCATGCCCTCCTTTAATGTCAATTATGAGGGTCATTTATGAAGATGCAATGGTAGACATAACTGTCAAATTTTCTGTAACGTGCGGTCGCCATTAATGCTGTAGAATATTTCTTATTAAATGCTACCGGGCGCAGAGCATTTAATACACCTTTATGATCGTTATTCCTTCCGGTGATAAGCAGAATAGATGCGTTCGGTGGCCATCTCCTTCTTGGGTTCCACATGTCCTTCCTTTAGATGACCATATGTCATATCATATTTTACCTATACAGTAATCCAACTCAAAGAAAAACTCAAGCGCCGAGCGGCTTCCCTCATTGTTGAAAAAACTAACACCATGTATAGCATGAGGAGAAATGCCTTGGAAGAGGCCAAAACAGGCATCCTTGACAATGATGTCAAAATTGCTAGGGCCCGAGAGCTTGAGTTGGCTGCAAAAAATGGATTTCCGCCACAGTCTGATGCTTCTAGTTCTTCTAGTTTCGTTTCCGAGTTTTTGGGAACTGAAAAGGAATTGGGGGATGATGATGCTAAAGACCGAACTGGGGAAAATGTAGAGCCATCGGTAGATCCACCTACTTCTCCCGGGGCGCGGACACTTCTCTTCCTCCTGGTTCTGGAGATACTGCAGTTTAGCTTTTTCTTTTGTTTTTCTCATTCTTGTACTTTTACCGTTTTGGCATGTTCTTGTAAATAAAGACATACTTTTTCTCAAGTATTGTTTTAGTCTAATTTTTGTTTGAATATCCATGCAAGTCTTTAACCCTTGCATTTGCTTAAGAATTCTACGCATATTTTTCTGGTCGCGCTTTGCTATGTGTAGTCTCGGATGCTTTTTCCTCGAAGCACTTTGGTTTCGAGTATTATCACTTTTACGTGAGGGTTTCTATAAGTATTTATGCAAGTTTACTTTTTGCGTCCTTTCGTGTACGTCTTCGGGTGCATTTTTCCCCGAAGGCATTTTGATTTCGGGCATAAATTCTTCCAAAAATAACCCTTTAATGTGAGGGTTTTCATAAGAGAGGGCCCTCTTATGTTTATGGTGCTCTTGAAGAGGACGTCTCTTGTTCATTACGACACTAGAATTTGAAGTACATGTTTAACTTTCAAATAACAAAGTTAGTTCATCGTTCAGACATGAAACAAGACAAAAACAAAAGGATTTTATTTCATTTAGTTCCTTATAATTTCAAAAGTACAAAAGCATTTGTTATGCTAAAAAGAAATTGCCATTACTTGTGGCTATAATTTCATAACATTATTCAAATGTTTAACAAAACTAATATATCTATTCTAACTAAAAAATGAACAACATGCAATGTGAGTCAATACTACTAAAATAAGTAAATTGGAACCATGAATATAACACAATTTAAAAAATAAAGATCGGAAGAGNTAAGTTCCGCTACAACTTAAGATTAGGAACATAATAAGTTTATAACCACATTCAACAACGATTAATCGTATCACTATGCCAAGTTTGTTAATGACTCGTTATTTCTAATATTAGGAGCTGTAGTTTAAAAATAGAATAATAAAATAAATAAAAATAAAATAGGGAAAATTTCACATAAGAACAACTGGGCTCACTACTTTTTAATTTTATAGCCCATATTTGAATTTACAACCAACTAGCCAGAAAATAATAGGCTAATACTCAGCATTCAACTCCAATAGATTCTCGAAATTACTATATAATTTTTTTAAAAAGNAACTCCAATTAGATTCTTACGAATTATATATTAATTTTTTTAAAAGATTGCTCTACCTTTTAAGTTAAATTTTGAATCAGTAAATGCAACTCAAATATTAGTTCAACAAACCAAATTCATTTGGGTGGTGAAAATTAGATCTTTAACAAACTTAAATATGTGGGTTTAAATTTCAAATTTGATTTTGTCAGAAATTTAGAGTGAGTGTTATTTAGACTTGTTAGAAATAGTATAATGAGGTTGTATATAAAATTTAAAATCATTTAATGGAGATTTTAGACTGGTTTTGAATAAGAATTATAACTGAAAATCGTGGAAGAAGTTCGTCTACAGACGCTTGTATAAAGATGTATAAAAGTGTATAATAGTGTATAAGATGTGTTTATACACTCATATACACTATTATACAAGATTATACAAAATTATACAAAAAACTGACTTCGTCTTCTACCTTGAGTCTTTTTTGAATTTAACTCAAATCTAATCCAAATCACTTCAAATTTAAATTTTGAACTCCTTTTTGATATTTTCAATCAATTCGAACAACACCCAATCCAAACAACTAGCAAACTCAAAAAATCCTATTTTCGAAAGCAAAGCTTTGAATGGCCTTCAATGGTGGACTTCTACTCTTCAATTTTCTGACATTGCAAACAGGGGGAGAAGCAGAAATACACAGCCCCTTGAAGCATATGTAGAAGATGTGAGAGGAAGAAAGAGTGAAAACAATGGTTGTGAGATTTAACTCCATAGCTTTTAGAAGCAACGGTTGTAAGAACACAGATTTTGAATTTGCTAATACTTTCATAATATGTACAATATGGGCTAGGTAGGGTAAAACTTAAAAACATGGGCCATTTTTTTGTTATGGTGTGAAGTCATGTGTATTTTCTTGTAATTCTTTCCATAAAATATAAGCAATTACATGGAATCACAAATAAAGGTAGAGAAATAAAAGATAAATAATACAAAGAAAAATATATTTTAAAATTTCAAAAGAAATTAAAAGGTAAAAATAAAATAATAGAAATAAAAAGTTGTAAAAAATAAATTAAAATAAAAACAAAAAGGAAAGAAACTAAAAAGCAACCTTGTAATTACACAGTATAATTACCACCAATTCTCACCTCCCCCTTGAGAATTGGAGAGTGTAATTACGCCCCTCCAATTACACCCAATTCCATGTTGACCAAGTAATTACTTGACCAAACAAACATGTCAGACTGTATAATTATACCCAAATCTATTTCCAAGGTGGCTTTTCAAACCGGCTCTTAGTAACATAAATATGGTACACGCTACATGTACAGTCATTGTCGAATATTTAGTAAATATGTTTTGTTAAATAATTCTCTTTCCTCTTCGTCATCTGCAAACTTTGAAATGCTACTCTAACCATTTGTATCTAGATATTATCCTCCGATCAAACAGATATTTCTGACAGGACCATTTTTCAATTTGATCTTATTACTCCTTTTAATCAGAAGACCATTATAGACCACCATGTCTTCTGGTGACTAACACTTAATATCAACAAACTGTAGCATCTCAGGCCACTGGTTTAAACAGGTGATTCAACTGCTCCAGCAAAACTTCAAACTGGACAAAGTGAGGTCACAGCTTTATCCAAACAGATTACAAAACAAAACTTCAAACAGTCAACTTTACATTTATGAAAAACCGAAAGAATATTACATACACAAGCATTCTAGGTTCTCCTCAAATTCCTTTCTTGAAACCACTTCATTTCTTGCAACAAGTATTCAAGCATCAGCTGCTTTTCCCATCTGAGAATCATTAGCATTATCACTCAATTTTGCCCGCTTTGCTGCATAGTCTTTCACAGCTGCCTTTATTGCATCCTCAGCAAGCATACTGCAGTGCAGTTTAACAGGTGGAAGAGAAAGATGTTTCGCTATCTCCCGGTAGTACCATCAAATGCCACACAAGTTTCAGCATACTAAGACCACTTCAGAATAATGCAGACTACCAATGTATCTTCTATTTCTTTTTCTTCTTGATAACCTTGGTGTCCAGGTTACCAAAGTATCTTCTATTACATTAGAGCAACATGAGCAATGGACAATTGACCATATACAGTTGTAGACATCAAATTCTATATTCACATAAGCTTCTCCCATAAGCCTATCTAATCACATCTGTAAATACAGAGAATGGCAGTAAGATGGGTATTACAGACACAAACATCATGGAACTGGGCAATATCCAAGTACAAGAACTTAATGAATATATATAACTCTAAAGTATTGCTGTATATAAGGGCATCTCTTTTACACTTGGGAATTGATAATGTTGCTGGCAATGAAGCTGAACAGTGCCAGCAGCAATGAAAGTTGAAAAATGCAGGGAATTCAGGTAAACCAGTTTTTTCTGTTCAAAATTGGGATTAGTTCTTTCCAAGTACAGTAAGAGATAGTCCTGTTAGAGGAGCTTGCATTTTTTCAGATAGTCCAATTACTTCTTCCTTTTTCTTTGTTATTTTGATAAATTTTTAAAAAGTAAAAATTAAATAAATAATTAAAAAAGCAATTCAGCATTAGTTCTTCTAAGAACTGCAAGCTATCCTGACAGAACTATCTCTTCTCGGAATGAGGAACTACTCCTCCCACCTTCAATAAGGAATAAACAAGTCTCGAGATTAAGATGCTCATTAACATATGCCAGATTGTCATACAAATTGGAAAAACACACAATGCAAAGGCCTCGCAGGCCTCCTCTCCTCCGACTTGAATGTCCTAGATCCTTCAAGGAAGATAGTTTAAGCAACACTTTTCCTATACGCAATCCTTCTTCAGTTTTTAGAATAACGCGACAAATAAAGGAGAGAAACATGAAAACAAGAAGCTTGTACAATCTCCAACTATTCAGAAATATAACCTAAAAAAAAGAATGAGAGTATCAGATGAAATAGATCAGGAAAAAGATACTTTAGGTCAGGGAAAAGATATTTCAAAGAAGCTTGCATAGAAGTATTCCTCTATTAAGGGGAAATCCTAAGTTTTGGCCACTTGCATACTCACGTCTTTTGATAAGGCTCTCCTCAGATCTCGCCAATTCCTTATTTTAACTTCACCCTAAAAGACTGATATCCAAATATCTAAAGTTTACTGCAAACAAGTACCAATGAGCCTAGCCAAAATGTCAACTAAATGAACCTAGAAAAGAGCCTCCTTACCCAAGAAATTTGTTCAGCAACAATTCAAACTCCAAGTTGTCCATCATAAACAGATACTTTCTTTTTGGGGGGATTTGGAGGGGTGTACCAAACAAGGAGGCGCAAAAAGGCCCCCCCGAGCAAAATACTGTGGTGGAAATTTCCCCTAACAGATTAAGTTAGTATCATGTGGACTGATGGTCCATGAATCAAACATTAAACTAATAGAAACCGGTATAGACTTGATATTAGCTTAAAAGTGAGAAAGGTGCAGTTAACATTTCATTAATGTGATGGGGAAAACTCTGCATATATTACCATACCAATATAGTGTAACCAAAAGGTTAACAAACATAGACAGATATGTTTACCATACCAACTAGTATCAAAGAACCCGTCACATATGTTAACCAAAGTTGTCGTTGTTGACAAGCTGAGGCTATGTGCTGCCTCAGTTAGCCTTCAAAACTAATAATGTGAAGGCGCCACACTAGAGATTAGTTATTTTATTTTTTCTTTGATGTACATGGGTTTGAGGGGGAGATTGATAGGACAATCCCTGTACATTATAAAAGAAAGAAAGAAAAGTCAAAGAAAGAAGGCAAAAGAAGTGGAAAACAAGCAAAGACAAAAAGCAAAGTTATAAAAATATTGACTTTGTTTGTCTGCAAAGGAGAAAAAGTAGTATGAATTAGATTGTCAAGAGGAAGAATTCATCTTCGAATTTCTTTCCTATGACATAAGTGATTACCTCAACAAGGCATGCGAAAGCCTATAAAAGGGACTCTGCTCTTTCATTTGTAAACACATAATCACAACTCTTTCTCTTCTTTTTAGTAATAAAAGGCTATTCTCTATGTGATCGTGAGTAGGCAAAAACCCGAAGTTCTTCCGCCTGACAATCTTATTAACACTACGGTTTCTCCCTTACAAACAAGCAAAATCAACATTTATATAACTTTGCTTTTTCTCTTTGTATGTTTTTCCACCTTTTTGTCTTCTTTCTTGACTTATTACAATGAACAGGGTTTGTCCTATCAAGAATCCACTTTCATCTTCATGTCCAACTATTCTTGTACAAATTTGCAACGTCTACCAACTCCCTCTTACTTTCAGCAACAACGACCCAGTAAAATCCCACAAGTAGGGTTTGGGGAGGGCAGTGTGTACGCAAACCTTACTCCTACCGCGATGGAGTAGAGAGGTTGTTTCCGATAGATTTCTCTTACTTTATCCTTCCTTATTTTTCTTCCCTCACCATTTCCTTTCCAACTCCCACTTCCAAACATGCTAGTCCTGCTCTCCACTTTCTCAACTCCTCCTTGGTGATGAATCTTTTATCCAGGTTTGGATAAGTGAACATCTACTTCTTGATTTTTAGTGTTGAAAAGGGTCTAGCAGCTTATTGATATCTTTTTTTGGGAAAAATGCCAAATTTACCACTATGCTATCAAAAATACTCTACATTTGCCCTTCGTTATACTTTCCATTTAAATTTATCCCTACCGTTAACAAAGTAATCAAAAAATACCTTATTTTTAACGGAGGTCCATTGTGGCAAGATGAGGGTACTTTTGGTTTAAACTATACATGTGTCATCTTCTAATTGGATAATATATAACTAACTATATTTAATTATTATTTATCGATATTCCTTTTTTCATTTGAGAATTTCTTCTATTCCTTTTTCTTTTCTCTTTCTTTCTTTTCTTCTTTCCAGCCCCCAGGTTGTCAATGCCATGAGCCATTTACCCTTCCACGCCTGTTTTTCTTATTTCTTATTTTTATCTTTTCTCAAAAGCTTCTAGTGTGTTCAAAATCAGATTGCTACCATCTTGGGTTGAATTAATTTTGAAGAAGATCGACAACCCATTTTGGGTTTCAAAATTCAGTTCTGAAAATTTGTGGGTGTTTAGTGATTTGTTGTTTGAATCTTCTGAAAATCATTTATCTTTGTTAGATTCGTAGATTAACAGTGACTTTGTCAAGATTTAAGAGAAGAAAACTTGAAACCTTCATATCGAGGTGTTGAGAAAAGCTGAAGAACCTATCAAGTTCTTTGAAATCTAGTACTGTTGGGAAAGAAATCAAGTGGCTATAATGTAGCCATTAGTGCAATGAAGGTTGACTGTTTGTGCATCTTTGTCTGAAGCTTGGTTGTGTTTTCTGCATATTGATGCAGTACATTTTAGTTCTAATCTCAGCTGGAATTGTTGATAGACCTCATTAGGATAAATATGAGAATCAACAATTGTTGTTTGAAAATAAACAGTAACTTGAATCCGATTTGGGGGCGTGTGGTAGTGATGGTAGTTGGAGGTGGCTTTGGGTGGAGGTGGAAGAAGAAATGGAAGGGGAAGAGGGCGGGAGGTGGCATGCCTCAATGTGGTAATCTAACATAAACTCATTGGAACGACATGTAGATATAAACATCAAGTTAACTCCTAGCACATCGCCATTTTTATTTGTTTTAATTATGTTTTTTATATCCCCAGACCCCACTTGTGGGATTATACTGGGTATGTTGTTGTTGTATGTTCTTTTTTATATATTTAACTTATTCTCACTACTACTATTTTATTTTGGTATGATGATGATATGAAAAGCTTAGATAAGGAATTGCGGATTCATATTGCCTACCCCAACATTGTTTGGGGCTGAGGCATAGTAATTGTTGTTGTGGTATTCCACATCCTCATTATTCCAGGTAAAAAAGCTAATTAAAACTACAGCAGCATTCAAAAGTATACCGAAGAGACTCAACTCTTTGGTTATTAGCAAATAAGGTAACTTAAAGATTGAGGGAAGGTAGAGAACAATTACAGATCAGAACTACATGCAATATGAAGTCAAAAATATAATAAACAAGTAAAGGATATAGGAGTTACGTATTCTTTATGGAGAGTACTTCCACCATTTGTTTCCCTTTCACCCATTCAGTGGCTGAAAATTAGAAAACTTGGTAATTAGAATCATTGCCATTTCAGCTTTATAGCATCAAGTAATACTCCTAGTTCTCTAAGAAAATCATATTTTTGTTAGGTTCTCTACCTTTTTCCTATACAACAATAAACTAGTACTTCCTCCATTCATTCCAATTTATGTGAAATAGTTTGACTAAGCAATCCGCACAGATCTTTTAAAGTTCGTGTTATTAAACGTGTCATAACATTTGTGTGATAATAAAACTTTTGAAATTTATAGTCTTAAAGTGCCATAACATTTGAGTGAGTATAAATACTTTTTATTAAGGGTAAAATAGAAAATTTAAAGTTAATAGTGTCACATTATTAGGAGTACTTTACAAAAACACCAAATACTTTGGGGATCTTTTTAATCGAGCAAACAGTTTTTCCTAGTAAACAGATACACAAAGACAAATAAGAGAGCGAAATTGTAATCAGACCTACGGAAGAAGAAGCAATAGCGGAGCCACATCCAAAGGTCTTAAAGCAAGCATCGGTAATTTTTCCGGTCTCTTCGTCGACTTTGATTTGCAGCTTCATCACGTCTCCACAAGCAGGTGCACCGACTAGACCCGTGCCAACTGTAGGATCATTCTTGTCAAATGACCCCACGTTTCGGGGATTATTGTAATGGTCCACCACTCTCTCGTGATATAGTCGCCGCTGCACCGCCGACGTCACCGGCGATGATTGTGAACCGATCCGGAGGATTCTTCCGGCGACATTCCTCAGCATTTTCGAAATCCGGTGACGGATTGATCAGAGATTTGCAGAAGAATGGTGAGGTTATCGAGGGGGGACGGGGGCAAGAAGATCAGATTTTTGGATATCGGAATTGTTATTAAATGGACTTGGGCCACTACCACACTTTTTGGGCCGAAGTGCACAGGTAGCCACGAATTAGGGCGATGTGCACAGATAGCCACTAACATCTTATGTCTTTATTTTAAAGCCAGCGTTTTAAATGTCTTTAGTCTTTAGCCACTGGTTTAATAAACTTTAACTGCTCGGACAAAAATACCCTTCTGCTCATGTCCTTAACTTCAGGACTTCAGGACTACATGTCCTTAACTTTTGAACTTGAAATTCTAAGTTCAGGACTTCAGGACTACATGTCCTTAACTTTTGAACTTGGAACTCTAAGTTCAGGACTTCAAGGTTACATGTCCTTAAGTTTTGAACTTGGAACTCAAACTTCAAGACCAAGCGTCCTTAACTTTTGAACTTGTAAGTCAAAGTTAAGGACCTATTGTCCTTAACCTTTGAACTTGTAACCCTAAGTTAAGTACTGCTTGTCCTTAACTTTTGAACGTGTAACTGTAAGTTAAGGACTGTCTGTCCTTAACTTTTGAACTTTAAACTCAAAGTTAAGGACTGCATGTCCTTAAGTTTTGAACTTGAAACAATAACTTAAGGACTGCACGTCCTTAAGATTTGAACTTGAAACTATAAGTTAAGGACTGCCTGTCCTTAACTTTTGAAACTGAAACTCAAAGTTAAGGACAGAAAGTCCTTAAGTTTTGAACTTGAAACAATAACTTAAGGACCGCACGTCCTTAAGTTTTGAACTTGAAACTATAAGTTAAGGACTGCCTGTCCTTAACTTTTGAAACTGAAACTCAAAGTTAAGGACAGAAAGTCCTTAAGTTTTGAACTTGAAACAATAACTTAAGGACTGCACGTCCTTAAGTTTTGAACTTGAAACTATAAGTTAAGGACTGCCTGTCTTTAACTTTTAAAACTGAAACTCAAAGTTAAGGACAGAAAGTCCTTAAGTTTTGAACTTGAAACAATAACTTAAATACTGACTATCCTTAAGTTTTGAACTTGAAACTATAAGTTAAGGATTGTTTGTCCTTATCTTTTGAACCTGCATGTCAAATTTAAGGAATGCATGTCCTTAACTTTTAAACCTACATGTCAAACTTAAAGACTCATGTCCTTAACTTTTAATCTTTGAACTCAAAAGAAACAAAAACAAGGTAAGAAGAAAGAAATTACTGTACGTAATTGAGACATCTGCTCAAAAATTCAGAACTTGAAAATTTTGATGATGCAAAAGGAACTACGGTACGTATTGGTAAAAGGAATAGTGAAGCAAAATCAGAAGGATCTCATGATGGACCTGGTTATGTCCTAGTAATTGGGGTCACTAATAGACCTGATGCTATTGACCAAGCATGGAGGAGGCCGACCGTGAAATCGCCTTGGGTATTCCAGATGAAAATGCAACGCGAAAGAGAGGAAGAAAGGGTAAAATTGTCTTTTTTCTATTAGTAGTGGCTATTTTTGCTGAGCATTATAATTAGTGGATAAAAATTAAAGACACCCTTAATTAGTGCCTACTACACGCCATTTTTACCACGAATTAGGGATTTCTTTACTTTTTAGCTGTTGTTTAAAATGTATTTACTCTTTAGCTAGTACTTAGTAAATTTATATCTGTCCGAATGAAAATATTCCTGTAGACATGTGTGTTGTATAAATATTAAGGACATGATGTCCTTAAATTCATGAATGTTGTGCAAATATTAAGGACAAAGTGTCTTGTATTTGCATCTTCCGTTGTTAAACTTTAGGAAATCATGTCCTTAACTTTATATGTGCAGTGTAAATATTAAGGACACGGCGTCCTTAACTTCATGTGTGCAGTGTAAATATTAAGGACATAATTTTCTTGACTTGTATTTGCACATTCTGTTGTTAAACTTTAAGACCTCACGTCCTTAACTTCATATGTGCGGTATAAATGCTAAAGACATGGTGTCGCTAACTTCATGTGTGCAGTGTAAATGTTAAGGATATAGTATCCTTAACTTTATGAGTATTGTGTAAATATTAAGGACATGATGTCCTTAGCTTCATGAATGTTGTTTAAATATTAAGGATAATGTGTCTTGTATTTGCACCTTCCGTTGTTAAACTTTAGGACATCGTGTCCTTAACTTCATATGTGCAGTGTAAATGTTAAGAATATGACGTCCTTAACTTCATGTGTACAGTGTAAATGCTAAAGGACACCAAGTCCTTAGTATTAACATAGCACTCATGAAGAAAAGGAAAAAAGAACATTTCGTATTAATTTTAATAGAGTAGTGGCAAAGGGTAAAAACATCTTTTCCTATTAATTTTAATAGAGTAATGATTATTTTTGCTCAGCATTAAAAATACGGGATAAAAACTAATACCATATTAAAAAGTGTCTATCCCGTGTCACTTCTACATACTTTTTGTTGGGTTTACTTTAGAATCAAGCCTAAAGAAAGCTAGCGAGTAGTGCACAGTTAGCCACTAATTAGAGATTTTTTTACTTTTTAGCCACTGTTTATAATTTATTTACTCTTTATCCAGTTCTTAATAAATTTTTACCTGCCCGGATGAAAATAACCCTATGCTAGACATAGGTGTTGTATAAATATTAAGGACATGGTGTCCTTAACTTCATGAATGTTGTGTAAATATTAAGGACAAAGTGTCATGTATTTGCACCTTCCGTTGTTAAACTTTAGGACTTCATGTCCTTAACATCATATGTGTAGTGTAAATGTTAAGGACATGAAGTCCTTAACTTCATGTGTGCAGTGTAAATATTAAGGACATAATGTCCTTAACTTGTATTTGTACCTTCTGTTGTTAAATTTTAGGACCTCATGTCCTTAACCTCTTATATGCAGTGTAAATCTTAAGTACATGGTGTCCTTAACTTCATATGTGCAGTGTAAATGTTAAGGTCATAGTGTTCATAAATTTATGGGTGTTGTGTAAATATTAAGGACATGGTGTCCTTAACTTCATGAATGTTGTGTAAATATTAAGGACAAAGTGTCATGTATTTGCACTTTCCGTTGTTAAACTTTAGGGCATCATATCCTTAACTTCATATGTGCAGTGTATATGTTAAGGACATGGCGTCCTTAACTTCATGGGTGCAATGTAAATGTTAAGGACATCATGTCCTTACTATTGACACAGCACTCATAAAGAAAGGGTAAAAACGTCTTTTCGTATTAATTTTAATAGAGCAGTGACTATTTTTCCTCAGTATTAAAAATAATGGATAAAAACCAAATACCTTATTAAAAAGTGGTTATCCCACACCATTTCTACAAAGTTAACTACGACTTCTCTTATTATAGCTGCTTTTCTTTAGTTAATTTGATGAATATATTAGAGAAAATGACACTTAGAGCCCCATTTAAAGTACACAGTTTTAAAAATGATGCGAAATACCACAAAGTTACATTTTATCACATGTGTGCCCCACGTTTTACGTCAGTACCTACTCTCTTTCCCAATTTCAAAATAGACAAACGTTCTCCAATTGAGCATACGCGAAAGTTTTGCAACTTTTCCCAAAATTCCTACAAAATCGCGAATTCTCGCTTCCAAATCTTCGTTAGGTTTCAATTTTCGTTTATTCTCCTCTAAAACTTGGCAATGTCAAGCTTTAATTTTGAGAAAAAAGTGTTGAAGTCTTATGGGTAGAAAGCACACTCTTAAGCGTGCAAGACCGTTCCATCTATTTCCACCTTCACCACAAGTTTCTGATATTGTTATGGATGTCGAAAATCAGCCAATGACAATGTCTTAGTCTTGTTTGAAAGAGGCTCCAAGCGGCTATGCAAATGGAGATTCATCTTCGGCAAATGGATCCCAACTAGTTAGTTTGGGAAGAACGCGTTCTCAAAGGGCTAAGGCACGAGATATTGATGGTTCTCCAAGTTCTAAGCAACAACAAATTGATGTTTCTAAAATTGATCCGAAAATCCCCTTAAGTGGTCATGCAAATGGAGAATCATCTTCAGCAAAGTCAAATGGACCTAGAGCAGCTAGTTTGAGAAGAACGTGTTCTCAAAGTGCTAAGGAACGCGAAATCGGTGGTTCTCCAAGTTCTAAGCAACAAGAACTCGATGTTTCTCAAACTGAAACTGATTCGAGGCCTACAAAAAAAAAGGAAGGTCTCTGAATTTGGTATTCGTCAGAAAAAACATGCCAAATCCCATTCAAAGGTAAATTTTTGAATGTATTCGAAGTTTTATGCATGTTAGAGCTTACTTTTTAAGAGCTAGTTCCTCTAATGTATACCATGTGATATACTTATATATTTGTGTCTATTTAAATGCGGCTTAATGCAAGCGATAATACGAAACTTGGTATTTATTTCAATTTTGAGATTGTTAGTGATTTGAGAACAAAATTATTAACAACACAAGTTAGGCTTTTTAGGTCAATTTGTTTTGGGTATTTGTTAGATTTGCCTAGAATAGAAATGCAATTGCAGTTGATATATTCTTTGTTGACGATGGAGGTTGAAAATGAAAATGAGGCTAAAATGCAGTTTGTTGTCAATGAAGTTAAGATACGTTTTGATTTGTCTGTGTTTGCTTGTGTGACTGGATTAAAATGTACTAGTGATGTACGGCTCCTTACTCGTCCTAAGGTAAAAAAGAACCATTTGATGAAAAGTACTTTGCGGATTACCCTTCTCTTGCTGAGAAGTACCTTTAAAAATTATCTTTTTAATAAAATATCTGAGTCTGACGAAGATGCTGTGAAGGTGGTAGTGATCTATGTGATAAACTCCTTCCTCTTTTCTATTAAGAACACCAAATTGGTTGATAGGGGTTGCTTTGACTTAGTTGAGGAAGGTGATTATAACAGTTATCCATGGGGAAGAGTTGTATATAAGGCTACTTTGGATTCAATGGCCGGCGTTTAGATAGGCGAGCACAGTATTATCGAATTTCTGGGTTTCCTCTGGCTATTCAGATATGGTTCTATGAAAATTGTGGATATAGGCATAATAGTGTCAATTTTCGGTGTGGGAATAAGAGCCCATTTGGACATAAGAATTTTTTTACTTTTTTTTGAAAAATATTCATTTTTTTAAATCAGTGTTTCGCCATAAAATTTCTAATTTTCACTTGAAGATGAATTTTTGAGTTTTTTCGAAAATTTGAAAAACTCCAAAAAGTTGTTTTTCAAAATTTTCACTCAGATCACTCACTAAAATTAAAACACAACCCAAAATCATATTCATGTCCAAATACAACTCTAATTTTCAAATACCATTTTCACTTGAAGAAAGTTTTTATTTTGTTTTCGAATTTTACAATTCTTATCTCCAAACGCCTGCTAAATTTCCACGAATTCTTAGATGGAATGTCACAAGACACCTAAAGTTCGAGGAATTACATGAGAAAGTATATAGTTTTCCTTCTGACAAGGTAAATTACTTTCTTGTTTTCCCATGTATTTTCAGTTAATAGTGGTATATCATGTGGTGTACTCATTTATATTTCTGGTATACCAACTCACTAGTATAACTGTGACTTTTTCTTATGTGAAATAGTATACCGTCATTAAATACTTCTTTTTTTACTGACTTATTAGATGTTTGTTTCACTTAATAGTGGTATATCATGTGATATACTCATTTGTATTTCGGGTTTACCAAATCACTGGTATAACTGTGACAGTTTCTTATGTAAAATAGTATAGCATCAGTGAATACTTCTTTTTTTTATTAACTTATTAGATGTTTGTTTATTTAGTTGAATTTAAGGAATATGTCTCTTGACGACTTGGAGAATGACGCGACAGATAATGTTGATCAGAAATAACCTAGTTCAGATGATGACATTCTCAATCATCCACCTGAGAGCTAAAAAAGGCAAGGCAAAAGGCAGGTGAAAAGGTAGGCAAAAGGTAAGGGAAAGCTGCAGTTGACTTGGACAATAAAGTGGCAGATAATGACTTTGTCGATCCTCCACCTCAAACATCAAAAATACAAAGTGAAGTTGTAAATGGCTTAGAGAAGGAGCTGGTAGAGAATATTCATGACAGACGTCATAGTTCAAGGAATGCTTTTGTCGATCCTCCACCTGAAAAAATAAAAAAAGTAGTCTAAAGTTAAAAATGCCTTGCCCATAAGTAATGGCTGAGATGTTCAGTTTAAGATTTTGGCAAATAGCCATGAGGAATTGAAGAAAGCAGTATTGTCATTGAATAAGGAATATAAGGATGAACTAGTGATTTTAAAGAATTATCTTGCCGAGAAATTTGTGGAGGTGTTCGATGCCATTGATTCAATTAAGAAGAGCAATTCAGCTATACTAGTATTCCTTTTTGTATTGTTTTTCTATTTTTTGGTAGTTCTAAAGTGAATAAGACTTTTTCAAAATTTCTGATATAGCACCAACACAACTGAGATGTCGAAAAAGATGAAGATTGTGATGGTGATACTAATCAGGATGCGGTCGATAAAACAAAGAAAAAGAAGGTATACTAGTATACTATTGTATTAGATGTTGGTTTATTTTTGTGGTTTCAACATATTGATTATTTCATATTAGTTGCAAATTTTTTACCAGTTCTGTTATAAGAATTTTAAAAATGCTTCAGGCTTTGGAGAGGATGCCCATGATATCAATGAAAATGATGGCAAAATAATGAAGATGTGAATTTAGAATAGATCAAGGAAATGACTTCAAATATTTAGCTGCATAGTTCTATATTTGATTTTCTTTATGTTTATCTTTCTGATAGCTTGATGTATTTTATGCAGCACCTGGTTAGTTGATGTTGGAGTTGGTAAAACGACTTCAGAAAATGTAGATGATCATAAGTGGTTTGAAATGTGTGATTTGGGGGCTCATAAATTAATATGTGAACTTGGTAAACAAACAACAATTGAAGATCTTTCATCTTGTCAGATGTCTAAACAGTCAGGTGATGAAAATGTTCCAGCTGTTGATATTCGTAAACAATCAACAACGAAAATGTTTTCACATTACAAGGTTGGGATGAGCGACTCTCAGATTGAGTCTCAAATTCATAAACTATCTTCTGAGATTGCGAACCAGTCCATATGCGTAGGTCCTGTAATGTGTTCTATGTCAAATTGCTCTACAACTAAAGGTGCCACAATGTCTTCTTTGCCGATTCAGTTAACATGTGAAGAGGTTCAAGCTTATGTAGTTTCAGATGACTCAATTTAAGAAGATGCAACAAGAATAAGAGAACCTGATGTACCCTGTGTTGTTGTGAAAGGGGATCACCCTTTTAAAACCTCAATTACAGAAGAAGTTCCTCTATTAGTTAGTTATGAGTTTTCTCAGTTTGTTGAAAGAAAGTTAATTGTATCTCGCAGTTAATATTACAGTTTTACTTATGGTTGATTGTATTTTTTTGTAATGATACTTTCGACTAGTTTATTTATATATTTATAAAATCTTCAGGAAGAAGGTGTATGAAAAGAAGTATGATATACGTGAGCAAGAGTTTGATCTTAGAGTTGCATATATAGCTTAGAGGATGTTGTTTTTTGTGCTACACTATGCTGGTGTAGGTAGGGGTGTCAATGGATATTTAAAAATCGACTATTAGGGTATGTTTTTTATCTAAATCTATAACCGTACCGATAATTAGGGTATGTTTTTTATTTTATAAAAATAAATCGAAAAAATACCGAACCGTACCGAATAAATTTAAAATGTAAAAAATATATTTATATATTAAGTTGAAAAATATTAAAACATTGAATTTATTCTTGGGCCTTGAAATTATGAAATAACTATAAGCCAAAAAGTAATTAAGCTCAAAATACTAATTCCCAAACCTATTATGCTACTCCTATTAAAACTAAATTACTTTCAACATATTCACTAGCAAGACACAAGGTATTGTAGCGATTATGAGTAGCAAACTACAATGTATTGAATATGTTTCCTTTCGTATGATTTGGATTTTTCTTTTTGAATATTTAATCTTCTATAGACTTGAATGCTAGCTTAATATCTTTCTACTCGTGTAATTTATATTTTAATTGTATTTGCATAGTTTCTTTTACGTAGTTATAGAATAGTTGATGGATCTATACACTAGCCATCTTTCATGTTTTCTTAATTCATCACCTCTTAAACTGTAAAAATATCTAAAGAGCTTTGCTAAGTTCTATAAAAGTACATATGTTATTGCATTCTACTTCTATTAGTGACTTTTACATGACATTCAAAAAAATTATCGAAAATTAACCGAACCGTACCGATACCGAAGAGAAACCGACATGATTGGAACGGTTTCGAAAAGTCTAATTTTGGTTATACATAATAGAATAACCGAAAATTGGTATGGTGCAAATTTTATAAAATAACCGGCCGAACCAAACCATTGACACCCCTAGGTGTAGGTATTAGTTCGACAGTATGTCAATAGACATTATTTTTATTTTGCTTAGTCGACAAGTATATATATGTATTGGAGTAATGTTTTTTTGAAAAAGTGAGGATGACAACGACTGACAATTATTTCAGTTGTAACATTCAAGAGTTGTTCGCTAAATCCACTTCAAGGAGAACAAATGTAAGAAACAAGATGCTCACTTGACAAAGAAATTAAAAGAGTATATTTTTGGGTATTACATTCTTTGTAACACCCTATGGATCGATATTTATTATGTACTTATGCCAATTAATGTAAAAATTACATGGCATTAGGTATTGGGCGTCCTGTATTTCAATGATTGGTGCATTTATATATACGACTCTATGATATTTGCAAGTCATGATGCAGTTGTTCGTGAAGCGTTGCAGTCATTTGCTGTCTTAATACCATTGTTGCTAGCCGCTACTCCATTTTATGAGCAAAAACACGACATTGCAACGGATCGCTCTCATTATCTGGGAAAAGAGAATCTAGCTGATCCATTTCCTCTTTTACCCGTGAACGACTTACCTAAATAAGAAAAAGCGTAATGGGTTATGTTGTTTTATATAATCTTCTTCAATTTTTGTTATTTTATTGTTATCTTATTGTTATCTTATTTCTTTTTTATTTATGTTTTTGTATATAGTGATTGCGGTGTATATATTTGTGCCTTTGCGGAGTATATAATTGAAGGTAAGAAGATTCATGCAGACAACGACATCTTTGATTCTGAACGTCTTTGAACCAAATTTAGAACGTTATTACACCATTATGGGAAGAAGAAGTAGGTGGAAAATCTAGTTAGTGAAGATGAGGCTACTGAAAGATTGGACAAACTTTGTGTTTTAAAAAGGCGGGTATTAGCTCATACGACTTTTTGGAAAACTAGTATTATAGTTGTGAGCATTGCAAAAGTACTGATGTATTTTAGGAAATTTCGGGTTTTTTGCTTCTGAGTATGGTATATGCAAACATCTTCTAAACTTCTTTTTAGCGGTCTTAAATTTAGTCTTTTGTGTTGTAATTATGCTCCTTGTGCAACCGTTACCTTATGCTAATATCATAACTTTTTCTATGCTTCTATAAAAAAAAAAATGGTCTATTAATGTTAAAGATATACCAAGAGCACTAGGAATATTAGTTATTATAGTACACTCTGTTATACCAAAGACTCACTGGAAATACCAGTAATGATCAAGGATACTGGAGTATTATCATGGTATACTACAATACCAGTTATTATAGTATACTCTATAATTATACCAAAGACTCACTAGGAATACCAGTCATCATGATGGTATACTACTGGAAATAATTGTATACCAGCTCAATGGGAATAACAGTGATTGTGGTATGATATGTTATACCGGGGGAATATACTCTAAAGTATACCATCATTACTGGGAATAGTAGTATACCAACACTATGGTATCCCCAAAGTGTTGATATCATGGTATACCTGTAACCAAGGTATACTCAATTGTATACCAACTATAATGGGAATAATACTAACCATGAGATACTAAGGATAATAGTATACCAACATTAAGGGGGAATACCACTAACCATGGTATACTATAATGGGAACACCAGCAATCATGGTATACTTTGTAGTATACCAAAACTATGAAAATACCAGTAACCATGGTATACTTAGTATCATACTATCATTACTTGGAAAAGTAGTATTCCAACACCATGAGAATACCAATAACCATGGTATACGAAGAATACAGCATTATGGGGGGATACCAGTAAACATAGTGTCACGATCCAAAATTCACTAAGGGCCATGATGGCGCCGGACACCGCTGTCAGGCAAGCCAACCAAATACTTAATTAAACTCCAATTTTAACAATTTTGAAAACCAAGATTTTCCTTCAAATTTCATAAGTAAAAAGATAACTGCTTCAATTCAAATTAAATACTAGCAATCAATACAAAAATATTTAAAAACCATCCCAGAACCCGGTGTCACAAGTGCATGAGCATCTACTGATAAGGAAATAAAATACAATACAACATCCGTCCGGAATACAGTGGACAGAAAGAAAATACAATTTACTGGAAGGGACTTTACTAGCTGCGGGCCGTCTCAAATAATGCAACTCACCTAGTCCCGAATCATCCGTGCTGCTATGCCCAGTGGGCTGCTAGAAATAAATATACCTGTGCAACAAAAATGCACAAAAGTGTAGTATGAGTACGTAAACAACGTGTACTCAATGAGTATCCTGCCTAATCTCGAAGAAGTAGAGACGAGATGGTCGACTTCGACACATACTAAGGGTCCAATAATGTGATATCAATAAAACATTAAATCGCGGATTTCTATAAACATGATTTTTTTTAATCCAATAGAAGGAAACAAGTAATCAATTAATTCTTTTATAGGTATTTTCCAAAATTCCTTTTCGTAATTATCCAAATGTTTTCAAGCCATGAAGAGGCAATAATAACTTAATCAAGTTCGAGGCAGCAATACAAGCATGCGCATATAATGCCGAGGCGACGGCCCGATCCAACAAAATTAAACTGTGCACTTGCCGAGGGTCGACGGCGCGCCTATAGATGCATCTATTTAATCTGCCGAGGCGTTCGACCTGTTCCAAATAAACACATAGAGACATTGAATCAAGAAGCCAACATGGGGCAATTATTCAAAGAACAGCTAATTCTCTTTCAACGATTTAAGAAAATGAGGTTTAGATCTTGTTAGAAATTCATTTACTATTTTGATGTGGTTTAAGCAATTCAACTATCCATAAGATTACAAATATTCAAAGTATAGCATGTTTTTGGGTCCTAGACTACCCGGACAATAGCATAGTAGTAGCTACGCACGGACTCTCGTCACCTCGTGCATACGTAGCCCCCGCAATTAAGAGCACATAATCAATTATTTCACCTATGGGGACAATTCCCTCTTACAAGGTTAGAAAGGAGACTCACCTCGCTCCGAAGATCCATAACCGGCATTCCACGCCCTTCCGAAGACTCTAATTGATGCACCATGCTCCAAAACTAGCCAACGGTTATGCAAATCCATTAATATATGCTCAAATATTCGTTACAATCTAATTTATAGAAATTCCTAACTCCGATCGAAAAGTTGACCAAAACGCCCTCGGGCCCACGTGCCCGGAATCCGAAATTTTTTGAAGATAAAGACTACCCATGACCTTAGGAACTCAAATATATAATTTTCACTAAATTCCATACTCAATATCGTGGCTAAATTCCAAGTTTACTAATTTTCTAGGTTTTCCACCAAAACCTCAAATTTATACTAATTTAAATGCTCAAATCCATACATAGTTGATGTATTTAACTCAAAATAGGTGGGGATAACTTACCTTAACGTTGATGACGAAAATCCTCTCTTGAAGCTCCCCAAAAATCGCCCAAGCCCTGTAGAATATGAGAGAAATGGCCAAATTCCGACTTTAAAACAACCTTCTGCCTCCAGCTATTTCCGCTTGGTCCCGCTTTTGCGGACCATTAGCCGCTTCTGCCGCTTCCACTAGGCCGCCCATTTTCGCTTCTGCGCTCCCCTTCCCGCAGATGCGGTCTCGCTTCTGCGGAACCTTGACCGCATCTGCGGTCCACGAGCCCCTGGAAAAATTCGCTTCTGCGATGCCTCTACCGCAGGTGCGGTTCCGCATCTGCAAAAATATGACCGCATCTGCGGTCCTTCCTCTTCTATCCCAAAACCGCTTCTGTGGTTGAATTGCCGCATCTGCGATCTAAAACAACAGATGCGATTATGACAGCAACCAACAAGCCTCAGCCTTTCAAATTTCCATTTTCGATCCGTTAACCACCCGGAATCCACCCGAGGCCCCCCGGGACCCCAACCAAACATACCAACCAATCCCAAAATACGTTACAGACTCGCTCGAGGCCTCAAATCACATCAAACAACGCTAAAATCATGA